ACCACAGAGCCATAACAGGAAACTTATTTCTGCACATGCACACAGACTTATTATTAACCCCGATGACCTCTTTACCCAATTTAAGTCAAAGCATTCCACACGTTACACATGACTATCTGGTTTTAAAGACAACAAACACTCACATACAAGTTATTAATATAGGTCTATAGACCCGCTGCTCACACTGGTGTTACAGTGTAGCATTTTAGAAATGTTGTTTAATTACAACTCATGCTGTATGAGTATATCGTTAGCAATGTGAAGCCAAAATTCACGATTTATGTGCTCGCACTGTACATATAAGATAATAAAGAGAATAAAGTGAATAAAGTGGCCCGTCAGCCCCTGATCACTGAACAGGATTACAAGGTACAGGCCCAGGGGCCCAAAGTGTCAAAGGGCCCCCTGGCCTTCACCTACAAAATGTCACTCAAAGAGACACATACCAACCAGGAAGAGACTCAAAATGAGCACAAGAAACATAAAACGACTTCAAAAAGATGCAAAACAGCTTTAAAGAGACACAAAGAGACTCGTGACTCTTTGCTACGAAGGGACACAAGAAAAACTAGACTCGACTAAAACTAGAGACTCAAAGTGACAACAAAGAGACACACAACAACTACAAAGAGATGCAAAAAACAACAGACAAGAATAACAAGGAGAGGCAAAAGAGAGTACAAAAATTAGCAAAACATCCCCAGACAACTGTGTTACAATGACTGCAAAAAGACCAAATTAATTAAAAAGTGACATGACACCACTGAGAGATGAGGAACAAAACAAAAAGAGGCGAAACTACTTCAAAGTCTGTGCGTCTCACTTTATGTAGGAGAGGTGGGCCTGGCGGTGATAGCAGTGAACAGACACAGAGATGCACTTTCACTCACTGATGCACTCTATCCCTCCGGGCGGAGATAATAATGAACGAATCATCGGACACTCCCACCTCTTTAACACAAACACACACTTTTTGAAAGCACTTTGGGACTAGTGATCCTTCTGGTAACTAGTCAAATACTGTATATGTTTGCAGTCAAAATGATATTTTAAACATTACATAACAAACGAAAGGCTCAAGTAAACACCTGTCTGTTGTTGATTTTGAAAGTCACATGTTCTGAAAAGTCATTATCTTTGAAGCGATTAGTTTTCTAAATCTGTGAAAAATAGGATTGTCTCTGTATCTGATATGAAAAAGAATTTCAGTGCTGGAGCTTTCTCTTTGTGTAAACACAGTGCTATTCATTCAAATATCTATTGTGTTGTATTCATCAGTACTTATACCTCCTCCTGTGCTTTAATTGCTTTTTTCCTTTGCTTGTACTTTCTGAACTCAATCTTCCTGCTTTCACTTAAATCGATTTTTGACAAAGTTTTACACTCGTTTCTAAAGAAAATAATTACTGAGTAGCCTGAAGTGCTCATGTTCTGGTCCAGTCAGAAGGATTTTCCATTCATACGTTTGCTTTGAAATGATTTCCCCTCGTAGGGGGCAATCTGTTAGAAGGCTTTTTGATCAAGAGAAGATTGTCACCACTTTAGAAAGAATTGACTTGGTACAGTGAGATTGGCCGGTTTGCTGGATCCAAGCTGAAATATTTACGGTCAGGATGTCACGCTGGCAATTTTACGCTGGCAAATTTTTTACGGTGACCGTAGATAGTTTCGGAAGAACTTCAGAAAAGGCCAGGGGGAGAGTATCTCTGGCAATTTTTCGAATGCAAACAGAGACAGAGAGGGATACTCTGCGTGACAAACTGATCTCACTCTGTCCTGGGAATATGGCTCCCAGCAGCCAGAACACATTACCTGAGAGGCAGCTTCCCTCCCTGTAATAGTGAGAATGCACGGGGGGGTGGCATCTCTGAGAGCCTGTCGCAATGAATCTGGTTTTGTATTTTGTATGGATTGCTTTTTCTTGTATTGAAGCATCATTTTTGTACCTTTTGTAATAGCTCCAAAGACAGAAAGGCAGAGTGAGGGAACCGTCAACGTGTTAAATGTTTGCAGGAGTTCCTCAGGGAACCCTCCTGGATTCCCTTATTATTGCAAGATGCCGGGTAACTGTTCAAGGCTCCTGAAAACCTTCTTGATTTGAGCTCTTACGTGACTTATAATGCTCCCATCTTTATGCTGATATATTACAAATGATACAGGGAGCCAATAAACGTTTCTACTTTTAATAGTGCAGTCACACAAAACACATGGCTTCAGGATTTTAAAAATATTTCATCATGCGAACATGAAATATCGTGTATCGTGTTGGAATAAACAGTTTTAAGAAACAGAGCTGCAACTAACGATTGTTGTCATTGTTGATTAATCTGTCGATTTTTGTGTCAATAAATCAAATAGTTGTTAGTTCTATAAAATGTCAGGAAATGGTGAAACATGTCGACCGGTGTTTCTCAAAAGCCAAGATGACGTCGTAAAATGTATTCAGTTTACTGTCACACAAGAGTGAATAAACCAGAACATATTTACATTGTAGAAGCTGGAATCTTGACTTTCAAACTCACTAAGTGATAGTTGTTAAAAACAGTTGATTTATTTTATTTGACAACTTATCGATTAATCATTGCAGCTCTATTAAATAACGTATTTTTCTCTGATGACTGAAGGAGAATTTTAATTTAGATTTTAATTAAATTTTAATTTGCATCTTCTGCATAACCAGTTTATGCAACCGTTATGCTTTGTGAGACCAGTCTTTGTCAGTATACATCTGAGATTGTGAGCGTCTGCGTTAACGTTATACTTCTGAAGGTCGCTCCTCCTCCTCCTCCTCCTCTTCCTCCCTGAGCTGAAACATTAATGTTACGAGCAGAGATTGCCTGTGACACGTTTGTCCTTATACATAAAACTCATTACACATCTGGCCACAGCTGTGCAGAGATGCACAAACACTAGACTTGCATTTAAACACACGTACAGTATATATAAATAGCTGGAAGCCACGTTACAGGGAACATATCAGCTCACATCTTCTCTCCAGGAGGGCCTCTCCCCCTCAGCTGGCTGCTTTCCCAAATTCAATTTTCTCCTTTCTGTCTTTCAACATGACCTATAGCTACTCCCACATTTTACTGCACGCTTACCTTAACTCAATTACTGAGAGCAGGTGTTATGAGAAGGAAGTTGGGCCCTCATTTTTCACAGACATTTAAGTAAAAGTTCAGCACTAGTTCAGAGATTGTAGAAACAGTTAAGGATAATTGCAGTTTATAACATATATAATGAAGCATATTTTGAAGCCTTGAGTTTTGCGATTTAGCCGTCGCCATCTTGGATTACGGCCAACGCCATGTTGTTTTTTTCGCAGCCAGTGAACAGAAATGACCATATTTGGAATGCAGAGGGGTGACGTAGAGACGCTGTATACGTCTCTGGTAGAGACCTGTCAATCACTGTGTAGCCCCGCCCTAAAGCATCCCCTGCTTTATGGTCTGTTTGACTCTAAATGGACCATAATGTACTAAATGAACATCATGCTGTATTGAAGAAGACTTGAAACTAGAGATTGAGACCATAAACTCAAGAGAGAAGTAGAGTCATTTTCTCATAGACTTCTATACAACCAGAGGAGTCGGAATGTTCTTATGCTATGCTATGATTATAGCATATTTTACACTGTTTTGATGGCACATATTTATATTTGTAGACAAATAAGACAGTCCTGGTGAAAACTGGGTTGGATTCTTGGTGGAGGACGTATCGTCAGTGACATTTCCACGAGTCGCCAAATGTCAGACATGTGTAAATCATGCACATGGGGACTTTGTGGATGTTTTTTGCAGTGCACCAATATAACGTACATTCTAGGGGTAGGCACGCTCTGCTGCCAAATTGCCATTTGTACCCATTAGTACTGGGGCTTTCCTGGCTGAATTATATTAAACGTTTCCGTTCTACATGCAGGAATAGTAAGTTGAGCCCCCGGGTGCACAGCCGGTACACCTGACCACGTCCAGCCACATCCTCTTGGGTCAGCACAGTATATGGGACTAATATAAGTCTGGTGGTTTGCTGAAGTTTCCTGTCCATTAAGAAGTCTTCTATAGTTACCGTCTCACATGAAGCAAAAGTCTCCATTTAACAGTCCCCCCCCCCAAACCACAAATTGTCCACTCCATAAGAATAGCTGCCTGTGGATATTCCCGTCATGAGTAGGTAATTAATCATCCGGCTAAATCTGATTTATGGACCGTAAGATGATATATCTGAGCATATGCAGGCTGGAGTATTGATTTAGCTTTGGCTTTAAGCTAGCCATAAGACATTGTCAGCTCCGTGTTATGAGCTGCTGACAAATAGCCGGCATGCTCAAAGATCCAGCCAAGATGGCGGAAGTGGTCTCCAGTCTTTTTGCATTTCTTACTTTTTATCTCTTTGTGTAGTTGGCCGTGGTGGCTTATAATCAACACTGAAGCAGTTTCACTCCACCTGCAGCAGAAATCCATCAGTGTTATACAGCTTCAAGTGTAGAGGATGATAAGAGTTCAAAGTGTGAAATGATTTTCTTATGCTCGTGTTCACATTTCATTTTGGAAGCTAGAGCAGCAAAACCGCACTCGGCTATCGTGGACCTCACGTACTGTATAGCTTCTAATACAAACTGCTGCAATGCATTGGAAGCAGTTCTGATTCCTTTGATATGACACTGAATGATATAAATCAGACTGTTAAATATCATGAACGGGAGAGATAATTCACTTTGGAAAGTTACAACAGACGTAAATAAAAAATGCAGAACTCAAGCAACTAGTTGCTGCACATTACCTGCAAGTGAGACATTTTATCAGCCGCATTAATATGCACAACTGGGTCTAGTTATATGTTTACTGTCATTTCCTCCAGCTGTCAACATCAACATGACATGTGGGTGTGCTAGGACATGATAATGGAGCATGAGGGAGTTCTTTTTTATTTATTTTGCTGTGATGAATCAAGTCAGCCGTCGGTAGTGGTTCATGTTTATTTTTGTTTTGTCTTGACAGAACAACACATCATGGAGACCGCAGTCGTGTCAGGAGTGTGCCTGCCACAGCGACGTGGCCATCTGCAGGCCCAGCCACTGCCCCAACCCACAGTGTGACTTCCAGAGGGTAAGACATTTCTACAGGAGATGTTTGGCTGCTTTTTTTATTTTGTTATTGAAAACTACAGAAGGCCATTCATACAAAAGGAACAAGCTGGTTCCTTTCAGCATGTTATTCTTTATAAAAAAAGAACAGTATAAAATACTATACTACAAATATTTGTGCCTTTTTTGAACTAAAGTTAAGAAAGCTGAGTCGTTTCCTTTAAAATCTGTCCAAAACAAACTCAAACATGGGTAAACACTACATTTGTTGGGGACTATTTCCAGTGGCAGATTAATACACATTCAGTGCGCTAATGAGGAGGCTATTTGGGGCAGTAAAAACAAAGTGCATGTGTTAATGGTCATAAATGAACACAGAGCAACAGTAAGTCTCATTGATGTAATTATATAACATTAGCTGGTCTTTGGACAACAATGGAGTTCAGAGGAACAATATATAGCAGTCAAAGGACCACAGCTCCTCTGTGGAACAAGTTACTGTCCCCTAACCCTAAAGGTATGCAGGCCACATTGACGGTTATAGCTAACATTAGTTGAAGTTTTAGCCAGTAGCTTAATGCTAAACGTCAGCTGGCTTATAACTTAGCTAACATATTTTAATGTTAGATAGTATCAGATCATTAAGCTTCATAAGATCAGCTTCCAACATTTTAGGTTGAAGTGTAATATTTGATTTTGACTATGAATAGATTAGTAAATTAGTCTGGTATGGCTAGTTTAAGCTTACGTTAACTAACATAATTAGCTCAGGTAGCTAACGTTATCTCGAATAGACTATTTATTTAGCCAGTAGAATAACTATGGTTTAACTGATAGAAATTCACTTTGGGGGTAGTTTTAGATTAAGTAATTCAAATGTTTAGTATTAGTTATTTAAACTTAAGCTACAAATTTGGTTACCGCTAGCGCAGTAGATTAAGCTTAAAATGTCAGTTTGGCAACTAAGCTAACTAGCTAGCTAACATTGTCAGCTAACATAGTTTCAGTCAACTCTGTTTATTCAGTTAGTAAAAGAGCTTTAGATTTAGCTAATTAGAAATTAATTTTTCAGGCAGGTGGAGGTTAAGCAATTTAAAGATCTAGCTCTTTATCCAGGCCAACTACAAATGTTGTTACTAAATAGCTAATGTCAGTGAGGTAACGTTTACTAGCTAATGTTAGCCATTGAGTTTGAGTTACACATTACACTGTATTTAAATATGAACATTAGATGTAGCTAGTAAATGTAAATGTCAGCCAATGCAGTTTGAGTAGCATTATCTTATGCAACTTTCTATTAGAGCTGCCACACAAACAAAAAGAAACATCTCATAATTGACAGCATCGTCTCTTAATTACAAGATTGGACAAAAGATTTCACTTGACATAGCCTAACTTAACTTAAAATGCTGTATCCAGTGAAGCGCACGGTAAAACACTCAGGTTTAAGTCCAACAATTTAATCACTTGTCTTTGTGAGTTGCCCTTACAACAAGAATCAATGTAATGACAGACTATTGTGCACCTTTTGATTTGCCCACAATGACAACAGTTTGGAGACCGTTAGTTTCAGCCCAGATATTATTTTTTGTCGTTGCCTCATTTGCATTCACAGGGACACATTTTCAAAGCTCTTTTTCACTCCATCTATCCGGCTCTTCCTCCCCGTGCTTCTTCTTAAATATGATTTAAACCTCAAAGCCTGCGGCGACGACGTCAAATCCAATCCCAACCCTGAGCTATGGCAACAATCAATGTCTAATGAATTCCACTCTGCTGGCTTGCAATTCAGTGTTGATTAAAAATTAGTCATCATGCCCACCAAGCCGTGTGCTCCCGACAGTTAAAAAGCTCTTAAAATGTGACTCTCTCCCACCTACACTGTGATGAAAACTATTAAGGGTTTTATCATCCATCTGTCTCTGATTATAGCGCTTTCTTTTGAAATCCACTGCCTTTATCTAAAGCGTTTGTATTTTTAATTTTACTCTCGGGGTTAATCATCGACCACAGATTGTCTGTAGAGGACGGCTCATTTATGTGTTTGTCGTTTAAAATGGTGTTTTTTAAGTAACACATACCGACTGAGTCCAAGAATTCAGAAATCTTAGAAGATTGCTGATGATTTCTTCGATTAATCGTTAATTATCAAAAAGTAGCCCATCACAGCTCCCCAGAGCCCAAAGAGTCGTCCTTAAACTGCTTGTTTTTGTTTGGCCAGCAGTCACAAATCATATATGAAAATCTCATATTTAAGAAACAGGAACCTGCAATTCCAGTTTATTGATTACTGGACTAGCAGCTTGAACTCAGATACCAGATTTATTTGTATTTTCTTGCATTAAACAACAATACAAATGCCTCTGCATGTTTCCTACTCATTGATGCACTCATTAGTACTTAATTATGCCATTTCGCCTGTTGCTTTTGTTCTCTGTTTCAATTTCACGGTTTTATTTTGCAATGTTGTTTGAAATGTATCCCATGTACCACTAACTGATGACGGCACGCAAACAGCTCACCTAACAAGCTAAATGATATCATAGATTATAATTGTATCGCTTGTTTAAAACCAGAAATGGAACCAGCAGGAATGACATTTTGTGTCACATGGTTAGATGGCAGAAAATGGAATTAGATGGAAAAAACTGCATAAACAATTAACTTAAAAACTCCATTTAATGAACAAATAATCTGAAACTTTATCTGCCTAACTCACATCAGTTTGATATAATGGATACCAAAAATATATGAAGAAACCTTCACTGTCCACTATAGTTTTTCATTTACATTATTTTATAATGGGACAGGAAAGTGGCTCGATAAATCTCATATTCACTGACCACACTTCACCCGACATGATTGTTTTACTCTGCAAGAGGAGAAAACCTCGAGTCTCATGAATGCAGCAGTCCAGTGATGAATACGTACAACTGAACCATCTCTCTTCATTTGCAGCAATACAATCTGAAATTAGATCAAATTCTTGTTCTACGGTCATATTTTTGGCAATTAAATTTGAGGCAGCAGACTGAAAACAAAGACGGCCAGAGGGACCGCAAGATGACAAGTTCAGGACAAAAACAGACACAATAGCTTAAATATATGGAAGCATTTAGAGGTTTTAGTGTTTGGTTTATTAGCACAAAGGGGCTGCTGTGATGGATAAAGTTGTGTGTGCTTGTAGGTGATCGATGCAGCTCAAAGTACGATGTAAACGCTCGCTCTGGCAAACTGCTACACAGCTCACTCCCCATCTATTCTGTTTCCCACAGTTGTTATTCATACATTTAGTCGCAGTTCTCCTGCCTGTTCACATGCAATGTGTCTCCTCCTGCAGATTGGTTGTACCTCTATGCAGTTTTATTCTCTGTCTCAATTGACACAAGATATTCCCTGATACAAATGGTACCCCCCTCCCTCCTTCTTTTTCCATTATATATAATTTTATTCACATATAAATGACACCTAAGCTATTCACCTGCTCTGCGTCTGGCTGCTCGCTGCATTCTCATTTTCTTTTTTCCACACGTTCGGCCTCATTCAGGGTGTGTATGCAGTGTGGATAAAGGACTGCGTGTTGAATCTGTATTGTAATATGTTTTGTAACACCTCTGTATCGTCTGTGTCGATACTCTGTGTCATCACGTTTTCATTATTATCGGCCCCGTTGTACTAATTGTGTCACATGACGGTTACTTTCCATAAACATAGGCCGACTGCAGTCAACAAGTTTTGTATTCACGCTGCTTAAAGGGACACGCATCTATTTTCTATTTTCTGTGGGGATTTGTGTGTATTCTGCTTGTGTTTGATGTACAGTATATGTGTGTATTTAATGTGTGTGTGTCTTTTCTAAAGGGCGAGCGTTTGAGGATCCCTGCCAACAAGTGCTGTCCGGAATGCATCTCCTCGTCCCCGGGTTCCTGCCAGTACGAAGGAGATGTTTATGGAGTAAGTGAAGTTGACTCTTCCTCTGTTTCTGCACTGATATACACGCATACAGATGCAGCCTCTATAGGTTGATTTCAGTTCCAATCAGGCGGCAATCTCCGGTTCTGAAAAGCTTCATGTGTTAAAGCTGCATTCTCTCTAGTGTCCACCAGGGGGCGACTCCTCTGGTTGTATAGAAGTCTATGAGAAAATGACTCTACTTCTCTCTTGATTTATTACCTCAGTAAACATTGTAAACATGAGTTTATGGTCTCAATCTCTAGTTTCAAGTCTTCTTCAATACAGCATGATGTTCATTTAGTACATTATGGTCCATTTAGAGTCAAACAGACCATAAAGCAGGGGATGCTTTAGGGCGGGGCTACACAGTGATTGACAGGTCTCTACCACGACGTTGTCCAGTTTAGGAGTTGTTTGTGTTTACATCGTACAACTTTAACCCTTTCACAGTGTGTTTTCAGTTCAGAAAGTTAATTGTAACATTTTGATCTTTTAAAAATGTCTTATTCAGCGTTTGGTTGTACCTATCTATCTATCCATCCATCTATCTATCTATCTATCTATCTATCTATCTATCTATCCATCCATCCATCCATCCATCCATCCATCCATCCATCCATCCATC